AAAAAAAAATGTCAATTTAAAAAGATGCAGTCCTAACAGCTCCCCTTGGCCAGGCGTTAACTCTTTAGTTGCTATATTGTGGAGTGGTCTGGAGAGATCCCAAAAGAGATACTGATGGAGTAAGAGGGAGATCTAATGAGGGTCACTTGAGGTGTCAGAGAGGCAGTTATTTACTGTCCCATACACAATATTTCAAAATGTTAACAAGTACATCTGGGTTAATGGCTAATAGCTGATCATCAGCCCTGCATATGAATATCATTTTTCTTCTGCCATGATTCATAAGATCCTTGGGTGCACAAATCTTATCTATTTTATATTTGGACTCTTCAGTTGTTGAAAAATAATAGTTTTAAATTATGTTGAAAATTATTATGTTGAAAAATCATAATAGTGAATTCACCTGTTCTACTCCCCACTCTGTATCTGGTGAATCCTCTCACCTGCACCTCTGGCCGGTACCCCAGGGTTCTTGCATGTATAAATAAATATTTTTTTTAATAATTATTTGTTCATTAAAAAATGAATGTATAAGTACACTAATCCAGTGTAAGGCTTATTCACCTCAAAATTTCTTAAAGGAATAGAAATTGAGAAAAAAGTAAAAAGAAAGGAAAAGGATAAAGATAGGAAAAGGAATGGTAGCAAGTTCATTTACATACATCTTGTTTTCTGCAACCAGGACTAAGAATTTATTTTAGTTTGTAACTGTCTTGGAAAATGTGAAAGATAAATTTAATTTTTTAAGATTTATTTATTTATACATACAGTACTAGGATACAGGCCAGAGTGCACAGGCAGTGAGAGGATTCACCAGACAGAATGGGGAGCAGAACAGCAGATCAAGGAGGTACACTGCTGAGAGGAGCAGCGGGCAAGACAGGAGAGGTCTGGTTGGCCATGTGAGTCACCTCACTGTGAAGCGGCTGCAGCTAGCTTCACAGTGCTGTGCTTTAACCCACTGTGCCACCTGGGAGGGCCCAAATTTAAATTTTTTTAATGAAATTCAAGCTACAACCTAACTATATTGAGGTGACAGGGTGTATATGTAAACCGAACACAGTGAACAAATAACTAAGATAGAATAAAACTAACTAGTCAAGTCCATCTTTTCCTTTCATATCTGAAACTTGAATAACTACTATTTTGAATATAATTTCAGTGTGCTAAACGCCAAATTCTTGTCTCCTTTGCCCCACATTCTGTGGATCTCTTCCAGTGACATCAGAGGAATACTGTGGTTAGGTCATAAAGATGTAAGTGATTATGCAATGGAGAAAAATGACACTTTCATTTCTAATAGATGTAACTGACACATCAACAGGAGAAGAGAGACGAAATTGGTTCATAAATGCAAGTGGAGGAACTAGTACGCTATTAAAACACAAAATTAAAATAAAAATCTGAACTTTTTTTGAGGAATAAAAGATTAATCTTTGATCTGCTATAAATTTTAAAAGTCTTACATATCTCTTTTCCAAAGCGTCAAAACAACCTTGAATCCTGTCAAGAAATAAATGTTTGATGTCAATTGGACTAGATGTTAAGGGAGAAAAAATCCAAGTAAAGAGCTGATTTATATTTTTTATTTGAAAATTGACAATCATTTTACATTTCCCATTTAATAATTTTTTAAAACTCTCAGCAATATCTTCATAGAGTTTTATAAATAATAGGTAAACAATTTGAGATAGGGAAGCATATTTTATTTTTCTTTTTGGCTTCCATAATGTTTAGGACACTGGCATGCATGCACATGATAAATAATCAAATTTTGGTTGATGTTTTTCTTACTTTATATAAGCTCATTTTCACCAAAAACAAAACTATCTTAAAATAATATTGAATGTTATAAATTTCTAGGAAATTATATATTTTTTTAAAAAAGGGCTGGCTTTAAGAAAATAATATTGCCCAATAAAGTCTAATGGGTAATTTTAGTCATATAAAAGTAATGTTGCTTAACTTTTGTGGAATTTCAATTCTTACCATTTGATAATATGCAGTGACCCAGGGCACTTTTTATCTTCTCGGAGAATTTTTAAACTGAGATCTACAAAAATAGAAACACAGTTTATTTTCATCTGCTAAATGACTGCTGTACCAAAATGTCCACACTAAATAAGAGTATTTTTAAAGTATTTTATTTGTATAACTTACTTGGTTTTATAGCTTATAAAAACATTTTGATCTCTATTTAAAATAAACCCCATGTTGCTAATTGGCTTAGCTCTGACTTTGATTAAAGTTCACAGTCTCCCCCTTCTACAATAGCCCAACTGAGTTGGTTGCAAAATCTATTCATGTCACTTCTTTGCTTCTATAGAATTCTAAGTGTAATAAGATAGTATTGAAATCATCTCTATTGAAAAATTTAAAGCATACACCTCAACCTTAAGTCATTACCTGATAATTCTCCCCTTAAACGAACAGGTGAAAATATTCTCCATGGATTAGTGTCAAATATTAATTTTTGCCTGAAATTTAACTACCTTACGAAGAGAATAGGAAAATCATATTTAAAGAGTTTTGGTTTACAACAGTCCAAAATCAACTTTAAATACTTAAATCAGCCCTCCCTGGTGACGCAGGGTTAAAGCACCGCACTAAGAAGCTAAAGATACTTCCCCAAAAGTTCGATCCCTGCCTGCCCCGGAAGGTGACCACATGGCGCAGCAGACCTCTCCTGACCTGCCCGCTGCTCCCCTCAGCAGTGTACTTCGTCCATCTGCCTGTTCTGCTCCCCGCTCTGTCTCTGGTGAATCCTCTCACCCTCCGCATCTCTGGC